AAACAAAAAACAAGAACTGGGGGTTTTAGCTCAGTGGTAGAGTGTTTGCCTCACATATGTAAGCTTTTGCATTTGATCTTTAGCACAAAAAAGAAAAGAACAAATTTTAAAACAGTTGGTTTTTTTTTTAAAGAAAATATGGTATTTCTTTAAAGCTTTAAATTTCCTTGGTTTCTTTGCTTTGCTTAACCTAAAAGTTAGGCATGAATATTCTAGGCAAGTAAAAAGGTAACATTCTGCTTTCTCTAATTGTCCAGCTAAAGCAGACAGATATCCATCCAAGGTCTCATTTCAGAGACTAGGTTGGGACACATTTGTCTAACTCATTTGTACCTTGTATTCCTCACCTCACCACACCAGTTTAGGCAACAAAACCAAGTCACTTTAAGCCACGGTGTGTGTGTGTGTGTGTGTGTGAGAGAGAGAAACTATGCATGCACATGCATTCACCCAGTCCTGGGGCTTGAACTCAGTCCTGAGCTCCTTTTACTCAAGGCTAGTACTCTACCACTTGAGCCACAGCTCAGTGATCCTCAGATCTCAGCTTCCTTAGTAGATAGGATTACAAGTGCGAACCACTAGTGCCTGGCTATATTTTTGTTTTTTAAGTTATAATGCATATTTGTCTGGGCTGTGCCTAATAAGAGGAGTTAAACTTTCTTTTGTGTTCTCATCCATGATACCCTCATTGATCCCGGGGTTACTCATTTCTTCCAAAAAGGTGCTCCCAAATTATTGATGGTAATGATGGCTGGTGAGTCAGTCACCATTCACAGCTTCTCTCCCATTGTCGCTGCCTGTGGTCAATGCCAAGGCCCAGGTGGTTGGGCTTGGCTAAACAGTCTAGAATGAAAGCCTATTCTCTCCTGGCCCTTCCTACTCAAAGTTAGAGAGGTGTTACTATCAACCACACAAAGCAAGGGAGGGGGTAGAGGGGGGAGTTTACCCTGTCTGCCAATCATCTCCAAGTATGTACAAGATCTTGCTCTTAATCTTTCAAAGCACAGTCAAGGGCAGGCTGTTGGCAAAAGAAAAAACAAATCAATCAATAGCAGTATCTGTCAATATCTAATAACATTTAAGGCCCCCTTTTTTATGTATGTGCCTATACTAAGGCTTGAACTCGGCATCTAGGTGCTGTTCTTTAGCGTTGTTTGCTCAAGGCTGGCACTCTGCCACTTGAACCACACCTCTACTTCTGGCTTTTTTGGTGGTTAATTAGAAATAAGAGTCTTACAGAGGTTCCTGCCCAGGCTGGCTTTGAACAATAATCCTCAGATCTCAACCTTTGAGTAACTAGGATTGCAGGTGTGAGCCACCAGCACCTGGCTTAAGACCACTTTTATTTTTTATTTATTTTTTATTGTAAAGATACTATACACAGGGTTACAGTTACATGAGTGAGGTAATGAGTACACTTCCTCTTGAACATTGTTACCCCTTCCATTGTTTTCCCCCTACCATCCCCTCCCTCCCTCCCTTCCCCGAGGTTCTTTTTTTTTTTTTTTGATTGTGATTAAGTGATTACATAATTTCTAAGTCACAAGTTCATTCTAACTTTCCTGGAGCAAATTGTCTATCACAGTCTGTAATATATAACAGTGTTCACATGTTATATACCATATTTGTGATCAGCAGCGTGGGGATATTTAGTAGTGGTTCAACCAGATGAGCGGGAAGACCACTTTTAATTTAAAAAAAAAGAAAGAAAAAAGAAAAAGTCTTGCTAACCTCCAACTATTAAATTATCCTAATTACATTTTTTAGCCATAAATATTAAACTAATCATACATTTCTTACTTCCAAAGCTTTGTACATCTATAAAACTAAAGCAATTTTACAAATTGAATTCAAAAATTTAAAATTCAATTAATATTATACATGTAATGTGATGGATGATGTTGTTTTGCTGAAATTAAATTGTCTCTTGGGATGAGAATATGGAACTTACCTCTACTATTATAGTTGGTGCCAAATACAAAGTCAAATGTGGTGTTCAGTGACAAGGTAGTCATTACATGATTTAGACTAGGTATTAAAATATTTTTTTAAGTGACAAAGCAAAGAGTTTATGAGAGAGAGAAAGAGAGAAAGTATACCATTAAGGGAAATGACAGGTTCCAACTAGATGGCTCAAGAGCCAGTCCAGTTTACAGTAAAAAGAGATTTCCTACTTCCTATGCAGGAAATGGGAATTAAAGACTCCAAAATATATTAATTTAAAAAGATATAATTTAAGTAAATCATTTATATATTTTTGGTAAGAAAAGAGCAAATATATATTTTGACTTGAGTTTAAAGAATCTTTCCTATTTCCAAGGTTGGTCCAGGGATTGGGGAGCATGTAAGAATTACATGATCCCACCCTAGGTCTAGATGCCCAGGTAGTGGATGAGTATGTGCATTAAGAGAAATACAAACTTATTTCTCAGCTCAGTTCTTTTTTAAATTGTAAAGATACTATACAGAGGGTTACAGTTACATGAGTGAGGTAATGAGTACACTTCCTCTTGAACATTGTTACCCCCTCCATTGTTTTCCCCCTACCATCCCCTCCCTCCCTCCCTCCCTTCCCGGAGGTTCTTTTTTTTTTATTGTGATTAAGTGATTACATAGTTTCTAAGTCACAAGTTCATTCTAACTTTCCTGGAGCAAATTGTCTATCACAGTCTGTAACATATAACCGTGTTCACATGTTATATACCATATATGTGATCAGCAGCATGGGGATATTTAGTAGTGGTTCAACCAGATGTCAGCTCAGTTTTTGATGAACCATCCAATGTAGTAAATGTAGTGATGGGGCAAGCCTAAAGATTCCTCCCCCCCACTCCGCCCCCTTCTTCCTTTCTTTCTTACCAGGCAGCATCACCAGGCATTATAGAAGATAGAAAGATGACTAAAGAGAGATCCTTTCTTTCCAGTAACAGTAGTAGTGATCAAACCATGGAATAGCAGAAAGACTGATAAGAATACTTATACCAGGTATAAATGTCCAAGAAGGAAGGAATTACTTGCTTCTGGTGGCATTCCTATCTGTTACCCTATCCCATCCCCTCTCCCTTTTTTTATGAGACAGGGTTTCCTTATGTAAGTCAGGCTGGATCCCAACTCTAGAATCTCCTGTCTCAGCCTCCTCAAACCTGTGATCACAGACGTGTACCACCTCACTTGTGATATTTTGTTGGCGGTGGTGGAAATTGGTGGAATTGAGGGGAAGAGCATTTTAGCAAAAGCATAAATAAAGGTATTAAAGACGGAGAGCTAACGGCCAGAATGCGTATTGGAAAGAATGAGAAAAGGTTAGACCTGAGATCTGGGAGGAAAAGTAAGTAGGAGAGGAAGGTAAAATAGGAAAAAATGTGGACCGACATTTCCCTTTTATCTTTTCAAATGGAAAAGGCAGGGATGAAGGATGAGGAGGGTTGTCTTCCACAGAAATTGCTGTTTTCCACAGATCCATCATCCAAAACGATCGGTAAACAGTAATTTTGTCAGCACGAAAGAACGTAATTTCTGAAGTTACTTATTTTTTAAATAAAGAGGGCTGAAGCTGAGAGCAAGGTCAAGTAAGAAGTGCCTGGCAACGGGAAAGAACACCGACAAAAAGAGGCAAAAGGGAGTGTGACATCCAAATCGCTACTTGCTCCATTTCAGCTCAGATTACTCACAAAAATCTGCACTACTGGCTATAAATTTATATCACCAATTAAGTATTTAGTTGAAACCGCTAGCCTGATAACACCACGTGGATGTTATCAGATTAGATTAAGCACTTTGTTCTGGCGCTGTAAAAGCATCTTAAAGGTTTGCTTTTCTAGCTGAATGTTGCTTTTAGAGTGTACATTTGAAGGGAGCAATAATGCAAAACTGTGCCCCAACATCTATATCCTTTGTTAGCACTGAAGTTGGGGCGACTTGGTGCCAGAGGTGAGGTTTCTCCCATTGACGATTAGGTTCTTTGCCCCTAGGTGGAATCTCCTGGGTAAAAGCAACGCGCGGGAGGCAGGGGAGGAGCTAGGTGACATTCCAAACCAATCGCGGCGCTGTCAAGGGGCGGGCCAGAACGCTCCGCCCACTCCACTAGGGCCCGCCTTCCCCACCTTCCTAAATCCGGCCTCTCCCGCACCTGCGTGGCCCTCTGCAGCCTCCCCTCCAAGAGCTCAGTAGAAAGGGGCGTGGCCGAGACTCTCGCGAGACCGCCTCCTGTTGCTGCCGCCGCCGATCCAGGCTGCTGACTGGCCGCGCTTGCGCAGCCGCCATGTTCGGTTGCTATGCTGCGGCCTAGGAGACTGGGTGTGCTAGAGGGAGGTGGAGGTGGAGACGGAGGAGGAGGAGGAGGAGGAGGAGGAGGAAGAAAGGGAGGAGGAAGAGGGGGGGTGACGGCACGCCGCTCGCACTCCCTCACACGAGCGCTGCCCGGGATTACCCGCCGCCTCGCGCCGCGCGCTTTCCCGCTCCTCGCGGCCCCCCTACATTGTTCTCGCAGGACTCCCAGGCCCCCGGGGGCTGGAATCGGGCCTGGGCCGGTACGGGAAGGGACTTAGCTTCGGCGGGAGGGTCGGCAGTTCGGGGCCAGCCCCCCGGTTCTCCTCCCCTCCCCCACGGCACTTTTGGGGGTGTGTGGATTATCTCATCCC